GCTAAGTTTACATGCATTCACTGGACTTTCAGTAGTCGTATTTTGTCCCTTTTGGTCAAAATTTGGCCACAATGGAAATGGTGTGTCTTATTTTTGACATCAAATGTATGTGAGCTTTAATAAAGACATGATCTACTGCTTTTTAAATTTCCATTTACACACATAAATTCATCTCAAAAATATAAATCAAATTTCTAAATCACATACCCATCCCAATTCCCAAAATAGTCACAAGGAAAAAACAAGACAAAGCAAAAAAACAACAAAGGATGTGTAACATTGGTCCTGGCGAGGCGTTACATTTGGGCTTTTCCAGTGATGAGAGAATATGTTTAGGCTGTGAAGCAATATGGTCCATCTGTTTTAAATCGTACACATCCAACTTTTGTTTTTTACTGCCTCTGATCAATGATCACAATAAACCGAAAGTTACAAAGGGATAACTGCAGTTACATAGCGAACAGCTCTACAGCAATGCCACGTAGTCGGGCCAAAGCTCACTGGTGCTGGACAAAGGTGATGTGCTTCATCCTCAATCTCAGACATGGTAGGTTGTATTGTACTTTTATAATATTCATGTTGCTTATTATATTAACTATTTCACAACCTTTACTTGATTATTATATCAGTTCATCGTGACCTTCCAAATTGTGTGACTGTTTGGGTACAGAAATTATTTATCCGAGTATGTGGTATAAATCTTAGAATTCCTCAGTTGCTCATTTAGTGGTGCACTATTTACTCGGTTAACTTGGACAGTAGTTACTTGTAAGCACTGAAATCTGGTAGATGATGCAGTGTTACATGTAGTGCCTTTAACACATCATCATCTACCTCTGTAATAACCAATAGCAACAGTTCAAAAATGGCAGTGCTGCTAGGCAGACAATAAATAGACTCAATTTCTGGAGTTTTTCATTAAAAACAAAGCATTTTAAGCGAGCAAGTATGGATTCAATTCTGTGTACAGACCTCTACCTGCAAAATGGCTACTGACACTTTTTTAAACTTTGCTAATGGTGAAGGTTGCATAACAATGCAGACCCTACCACCGGCTGTACAAAACGTACAAAACAGGGTTTGTCATGCCTTGTAGAGCAGACCCTACCACTGGCTGTACAACACGTACAAAACAGGGTATGTCATGCCTTGTAGAGCAGACCCTGCCACCGGCTGTACAAAACAGGGTCTGTCATGCCCTGTAGAGCAGACCCTACCACCGGCTGTACAAAACGTACAAAACAGGGTCTGTCATGCCTTGTAGAGCAGACCCTACCACTGGCTGTACAAAACGGACAAAACCAGGTCTGGCATGCCTTGTACAGCAGACCCTACCACCGGCTGTACAAAACGTACAAAACAGGGCTTGTCATGCCTTGTAGAGCAGACCCTACCACTGGCTGTACAAAACGTACAAAACCAGGTCTGTCATGCCTTGTAAAGCAGACCCTACCACCAGCTGTACAAAACGTACAAAACCGGGTCTGTCATGCCTTGTAGAGCAGACCCTACCACTGGCTGTACAAAACATACAAAACCGGGTCTGTCATTCCTTGTAGAGCAGACCCTACCACTGGCTATACAAAACGTACAAAACCGGGTCCGTCATGCCTTGTAGAGCAGACCCTACCACTGGCTGTACAAAACCAGGTCTGTCATGCCTTGTAGAGCAGACGCTAACACCGGCTGTCCAAAACGTACAAAACCGGGTCTGTCATGCCTTGTAGAGCAGACCCTACCACTGGCTGTACAAAACCAGGTCTGTCATGCCTTGTAGAGCAGACCCTAACACCGGCTGTACAAAACGTACAAAACCGGGTCTGTCATGCCTTGTAGAGTACACAGGTCTTGCAGAGCTTGATATTTTCTTATTTTCAAATTCTGTGTCCAATAATCGCCCGTCCTTTTACATTATGATGACCTAGTAACAGGGACCAAAATACATAATATGTAAATTTTCCTATAAAATAGGACATTGACTGAAGTATTTCGCTATAACTGAAATAAGGTAAACGGTAACACTGTCTGACTTTTGAATGACAAAGAAGAGTTCGAAAACAGACATTTTGCTAGTTAGAGTTCCGTCCCTTATCCTAAATATAATTAAAAAGTTATATATATTCATTAGAGTCGCCTCCCTTTGGGAGCTATTTTCTGTCGGAGATAGTAAAACGTACCCGGTAAGTTCTTTAACATAGAAATGGAAAACATGGCGGCCACAGCGAACTTGTCAAGGTATTGGCAAAAGAACATGCAATTTTTTAAAGGAAATGAAGGTAGGACAAGCTGAAACTGAGATATCAAACAAAAAGCTTTATTTATATAATACATTTGTATATATATAAATATTACGATGATAGATATTTAAATAATCAAATAATGATATCGCATCACTGTACGTTTCAATTCTCAGAAATGTGTCGTCTGCAATTTGAATTTGCACGTGAAAGCAGTTTTCTATTGATTCTGTGTCACTTGTCAACGCTTGCTGATAGTGGCGGGCCAGCAGTGCTCAGGCCCCATCTGGCTGAACCAATTCTAGTCTGCCTTTGTTCTCATTATAGAGATTTCTCTCCTGAAACCTTCAACGCAAAATCTGCACACATTGCAATTTTGTTCGATTAAAGATAAACAAAGGCTAATATTTTATTCATGATTGAATTTTTTAAGTTTTAAGATGATACTGACTTATTTTCTACAAAGAATTAAATTATTTAACCAAGGTTTGTGTTGATGGCCTCCCCGCATTGTTTTTTGTTAGAGAAATTGAAAAAGATCCTATTAAATTTTAATTCTAGGGTCCCACTCAAGCTATGCAGAAGAATTCCAATAACATCGGACAGGACCCCAATCTATTGAATACCCAGCACTAACACTTCTGTAGTTGCCTGACGACCCCTTTTATTAAACGATCCAATTTGATTATCAGGACTGATGTAAAACAACCAGTGAGACACATGTCGGCTCATTTGATAGACTTGCTCAAATCTACAAATCGTAATAATACTTGTACACTTCCTATTTGAGAAAATATGTCACTATATATAAACACTTACAATAGAACCTCAAATTATTATTGTAATTTCGGCGCTCACATCTAGCATTCAACAATTCTAGTACTGCCCAACCACGTACTCGTTTACAGCTGAGTAGACTGGAACAAGCGGAGTAAAGTACCGGTATCTTGTTCAAAGATACAACACAGTGCCGTGAAGTGACTCAAACGTCAATCCTTCGGCCAGGTAGTGGCTGCAGGTCGGTGCATGGTTTTTCTCTGGTACTCTTAATACTTTCCTCAGCCATCCAAACCGAGCACATGCTTAAATGAGCCTAGCTGTTTGAAGGACGTAAAATTCTAACAAACCAATCCTAGGCTATTCACATTGTGAAAATTATTATTCTCAAAAGTTGCCATCTTCAGCCTCACATCAGCAAATATTTAACTTGCTCTTGCAAAATTGGCAGATCTGGTATACGAGAGGTAGCCTGCGAGAGTAACATTTATTCTACTAGTTAGTTGGGGTCTGCCTGGTTAATGCAAATCAAGTAGTATATATGTGCATAACATGCCATTTGATAGACTTGCTCAAGTCTATAATAGTAACAGATTAATTATAATTCTTATATATTATGTTAAAAAAAGTGTCAGCCAGTCTGTATCATGAATAGCAGCTTGCAACAAACATTTTCTAGCTATTGTCACATAAAAGATGTCTTAACTCATTCACCCCTGAAGACACATTTGATCTGTTCCAATTTGAAGGTTGGAATAATAGTTCATTATCAAATTTCAGGGGTGAATGAGTTAATAGGAATTTAATGCATTACGGTTATTCTTTTCCATTTTTTTGGAATGGGGCATGTGCCTTTTGAATCGTCTCCCAAAGAAGCCCTGTGCATCAACTCTTGATAAGGTTATTTTTGCTTATTATCTATTGTAATAAAATTCATGAATTGACATTTAAACTTCCTCAACCAAAGTTAAATATGTCAGTAACTCACTCTGTAGAAACGAAAAGAGGAAATTTCTAAGCTCCATCCACTATGATGAAAGAACAAATTATCATACAAGCTCTCCATGTAGATAATCGCGTTCATTTTGTGAGTTGAGGAGTAATTGTTGTGATGATGACAGCTGTCTGTTACTGTGCTGTGACATGGGGAGGGGAGAGGGCCAGGTCTGAGCCTTCAGCACCCTATTATTAGGGACTGTCCCTGTCTAGTCTGCACTACAAGGTCACACTCCCTCTATTACCTTGTCTGAATGACTGAATGACAAGGTCATGTGACTCTTCAAGTGCTTATTGCAGTGGCTTTTAATCTACCATAAATACCTGACAAATCCTTATCACTAGGTTTTTAGGTATTTAAAGTAAAAGCCTGTATCAAATTAAATGATTTGATATAAACATAATCAGAGGGTCATGGCACAGATAGTCAGATACTAACCAAAAACTGAATATTATATATTCTCAGTTTAACCTGTTTTATTACTCAACAACTGAACAGGTTCAACAACTATGGCCAAACAGAAAACATGCTACACATCTGATAAAAAAGGAAAGGGTAGCTAGGTAGATAATACATTTATCTTTCATTTTTCTAATGCAGTTTAAAAAATTTACATAGGAGAGTGATCTTGAGTTCTAACAGTGCTTCCTTGAAAATTGCTAATTAAGTTTAGGGTAGGCACAAAAACATGGAAAGGGAGGGTAACCAGAAACAAAGAATGTTCCTTCTTTTGCCTAAACACAAATGATTTAACAGGAAAAACAGCGCTGTTTCCGTTTAGAGTTAAGCTACTCATATTATCTGAAGGCTACTTCAAAGAAATGTCAGCGATCCTAATACAAAGTGAATGGGTTTTTCCTGATATTAGCTTTTACTTAGCTGAAGAAATTTATATTGTTTTAAGAAAAACCTCTTTGTTAGAAGCCATGATCCTGTGTATTTTATACACAGTAGTTGGCCAGGAAGGTTTGATTGTGCCCCAGTGAGACCATTAATCAATGAAAACAAAACCTGTTTAATTTTCATTATCTTTTAATTAATCTGTTTAAAGGACTTGCTTATCAGATAAAACAGTTTTGTCATCAGTCGCCTGCGGATATACATGCCACACAAAAGATAAATCTTGAAATAAGGAGGAGTGATTAGAGTCTCTACGGTATTTAAACAGTGGCCTTTTCACCTGAACATGTACATTGTGCTGTTCAGCGGATGACATAGGACATGTTTTTTCACCCAATATAACTGTAATACGATCCACGATCCCGACAAATGTCAGCATGTCTCCCCACTCGGCTATCAAGCTGAGTATGCGGTGAACTAACCGTGAGGCGATGACACATCATGGAAACACCGGCCACCAGAGGGCTTAGTTAGTCCCATGGAGGGATTCAGTCCCATGGAAGGACCTGTAGTCCCACAGAGGGACAACTAGGGCAGGACTGGACCAAATTCCACGGCATCCATGGTGCTACGTTATCGATTACATAACCGCTACACGCTGGCCTGTCCAGGTAATGTAAATGTATGCATAGATCTCCACGAAATATAACCAGTCAGGTACAGCATTTACTCATAGAGTAATGCACCGAGTACTGCACTTATTAAAATGATTCATTTAAAACTTGCACAGGAAATGTATTTCAAGTTTCTGCCATTAAATTAGAATAAGCAAGGACACAATTTTTCAGTTGACATTTATGTAAACCAATATGGACTACCCACCTACTGTAATCATAGAATCTTCTACATCAATGATGAACAGGTTAGTTTTAAGTCGGACATACTGTTGTAGGTTAAACAAGATTGTAGTGATAATACAATCCTATAGAAGTACAGGTAGAAAGATTCAGGTGTGTAAAAACAACAATACTCTAAATACAAAGTAGAACCAGGTGTACAGATAGTGTCACAGTGACACATGAAGTTACAACTGATAATATCATCACTTGTCTAAACTTGTACCATACAAGGTTAGTTAAGCTGTATTTCAATCAATAGGCTAACATAATTAGGGGTTTGTCACAAAAAAATACCCCAAATCATGAATGTTAGAAATTTGGTCTCCATGTAATATAATTGTGGCAGGTTGAACCTAGCTGAATTACAGTCACTTTCTAGGTTCACACAAGGGGAATTTCATAGCTCCCTTGAGGTCCATCGGTAGAGCTGCTGACTGGGATGCTGGTCGCTGCAGGTTTGATCCCCGGTGGAAGCACACTACTTTAGATCTCTTTCCTGTTACATAATTATAGTTCCTAGGTGCCATAATAATGTATGTAATTTGATGACAAATGTATAAGTCAAAAAAGACAAGTGTTTTGTAGGAGTGTACCTAGGTAGATCTACCTTTCTGACATTAGGACCACCAGACATGGTAGGTGTCCCCATTTACCTTTCTGACATTAGGACCACCAGACATGGTATGTGTCCCCATTTTGTTTTCCGCTCCTAGCCTCCTACTCAATAAATAATAATCCAATTATATAACTGATAAGCACTACCTTCACAGATATTTTTTGCAGATATTTGGAAAAGGCGACTTTTTGTTTACATACTGATTTAAAATTTGCATATCATATTGAGATTTTTCCCAACTCAAAAAGTATTTAGGATTTGCAGGGCATTTCAATTGATGCCAAGGTAAAATATTTTCAGTTAAATCTTGTTTGACAGCTGGGTACACATTTTTAATGCTACAGATGTACTCAACAGACTTAGTCAAGTCTAAGAATGAAGTCACAGTTTCACTACCACCTTAAACAGTCTGACACCCATGGTAAGAATGATGAATCCCCTGCCCAACACTATTCACACAGCGTAGATTTAAATCTGTTAACTCCATGTATACACACAAGATTCTGAATGACCAAACTCTGCAACTTTGATCACTTTATTTTACATTTTAATTATGCAGTTTATCAATTCCCAATTTCACATAATATCTACATGCGTTAAAACAGTCTTGGTATCGTTAAGCTAACCTTTCAAAGCTCTGACAGCTTTAACTGATAGGATGAGGGGGTTCTTACAGACCCTACGTACCTTTAACTAATTATTCCAACTGTATGCCCTGGCAGTTCTACTGTCCAGTGACATACTATATGGTATATAAATGAGTAAAAGACCTATCACTAGTACTAAGTAGGGGTGTACATCTACATAAATATATAAATAAAATGCAGTCTTAGATACATCTATTGAATAATAGTCTTCAAAACATATTCAGTAAAAACTTAGACCAATTAAATTCTTACACAGAGAAATGAAGGTAAGACCATAGGATTGGCGTTTGAGCTTGTCAAGTGTAAACCACGCTGACAAATGTATGTTGTGTACTCGTTTGAGTGTGATAGCTAGGGGCTCTTACAGTATACACAGACACACACTCTCATGCAGTTGGTCAACACACACATATATGCTTTATCTGTTAAAATGCAACATATACTGTGTACTATGAAGGAAAAAGAGCAAATTCAAGAATTTCATACAATTTATACCACATTCATGAGTGAAAAACATGAAAAAGTAGAGTTGCCAGATTCTAGAATGGGAAATGTATTAAAATGTGTGAGAAATTTTAAGAACCGACAACAGAGGCTAGATGAGGTAAATTCAATGGTTTCATTCTAAATAAATATAACAACTTCAACTGCACTGCATCAGCTATTATGAATCGCAACGAAGAGTTCCACTTGAGCTCAGAAATATTTTTTTCAGTTTCGGAATACATGCTTATTTATTAACGGTATATATATGCCAGGTGATTCATCTTTCATTTTGATGCTGTTAATTTATAATTCCTTGACAGCAGTTTTAAAAAAAGTGTGGTTTTGGTTAATAAAGGTCCCCAATTTTATCCTTGAAGTTTCTGTTTTTCTTTATTAATGTATTAAAACGTACTAAAATTCTTAACAACTATAATTTAGTATGATGATTTATAGGGAACAGTTTATCTGACTCTTTTTTTAATTATTCATAATAATTACTGAAATTGTGATTGTTATCCTTTATCATTTTTACAACATTTATGAAACCAGTTAATGCAACCTATATTCATCAATCTTAAGTTTGCTGGCCCGAATCATTATCACCAGGAAGGCACAGGAGTCTTAGCTATACTGTAAAGGATTCCTAAAGTTGTCAAGTTAAACATGTTTATCTGATAGTAAATCTAGTAAGCTTTCCTAAATAAAACTGTATCTTTGAAAAAAAAAAAAAAAAAAACATTACAAACAAGAATTTAAGATAAACATGATAACCAATCACCAAAATCTCGGTTTTCTCTTTTTTCAATATTTCACAACTCTTTCCACTTTATTAGATTTAGCAACAATAGTAAACAAATGCTGCAGGGTCGACAGGGATCAACTATCTTATCTTTACCTTAGCATAAATAGACCAGGATTCAAAGGGCAGCAATAAATTTGAGGTCAAAATGCTGAAAAACAATTATTATTTCATTTGGCAACAAGCCAACTTTTTACAAGTTTACTGAGTTTGACACTGCTTAGAATGTATATACATGTATATATATACTGTACTGTCATAACATAATAGTAGCTTTAGGAGATAGGCAGCCACAGCATACTACCAACAGTTAGTAAAAGCTGGAGTAAAAACAATGTTTCTTTTCTTGCCAGAGAAAATCCACTTTTATCTAGAGATACCAGTACCCCTCTCCAAAACTATGGTTTTAAACACTGTTAGTACTGCCTGGTATAGGCCTAGCAGTCATTTCGTGTTCTCTTTGAAGGGAAGGAATAAACTAGCTGATTCCTTCCTCTGCAGAACTATATATTGGTTAACTGGTTCTTAATGCCTTCAATTTAGGCTTTTTGAGGGAAACGTTTAGGCACGCTGATTCCCGTTTTTCTATTTGCTCACATTAAATAAGCTTAATGTTTTATATCCTTAAGACATTTAACAACAGTTTCACCATCGTGAAAAAAAATGGTCTTTACCAGAATTGCTGAGGTTACTTGCGCCAGAGACATATAAAGCTAAATCTCTGTATTATACATCTCTGCTTGTGCTTAATGTTAAAGCACACAAAATATATTCAGCAACTTCGGTTTGTCTGATAAATAAGAAAAAAAAGGCTTCAGATGTTTGTTTTGAACTTATCCAACAATGTACTGCAATAGATAAAAGAGTAACATTTAAATTAGGATTTGTCAAAGGCACAGTGACCTTCTCCTTCATCAACTGAAAAGCCATGATTGCATGAATAAAATAACGACAGTGTACAGAACAGTCCTGAGTAAAATAACTAGACTGTACCTTACCAAGAGGGCACGACTTCATATCAATTACATCATGAAACAAGCCCCTGTGTTACAGTAGTCAAGCTTGTCAGCTCCACCACGAAGCGCCATATATAACAGGGGACCCTGTCACACACGCGTGTGGATGGCTTAGATCCAGCGGTCATTGTCACTGAACTTCTGTAACAAAAACAACTTACGACTACATATATCTCTCACACAAACTCAGCATCAGACACGCTCGTGTGTGCAATACACAGCCATCATAAAAAGTTAGTTTTCAACATTGGCATGCAAATGCAAAAGTTATTTTACCTGCTAAAAATCCAACATGGCCTCAGAGATGGTATAAAGCTACCTTGTGTTTGAGCAAATCACTGCTATTTTGTTTGTGTGCAGCAGCGACTTTCTTCACCCATCCTCTCCGCTTACTCATCACTTGTGTATCGAGTTGCATGTGGACGGGTTCAAGCGAGGTTACTTCCTGCGCTCATCAACCAAGGGACATAACTCTGTCAACCCTCGCACCAGCTACTGAGGCTGGAGCATCGCTGGGCGGCTGCTAACATTCCGTCCAGTGTGTGCATGCGTGTGACTGAACCTATTATGTGTTACAAATAATTAGATTTGTTATCAGGCTATTTCTATATTAGGAATATTCTATTTTAGTCAGTTGTAAAATCCTATTACTTGTGTAATTACCATGTAGTAGATACTTTTTGACATGTCTCAATAATAAGTTATTAGTTAGGTCGAATTAGTTTCATATTAAATCAAAAGATGAAAAACCAACGCGGATTCTATTTCAGATCTTCCTCGTTATTTTATCATTTTATTCAAAATCACTTAATAATGAGTCTCACAAGGAAGAAGATTGGTCTTTAAAAATATATATAATTGAAGCTTTGATATAAAACCTAGCATCGATTGACTTCCTGCCTTAATTTCAAGCACTTTTAAAACTCGGAATATTGATATTTGAAACCTTCATTCATATGTCAAGAAAAAATAACATCATTTATCTTAACATGGTTAAAATAAATATGCTTCTACTTCGTATTTAACCGCCTCAATAACTAATATGTTCATATTTTGTAATAATTCACAAGTATAACAGGTCTGTATTTAATCAAACCATACGTTTAGCCTAGGTACCATACAGCTGTATAGCATAAAGAGATAAAGCCTGACCTCCATGACATTTACAGAGAAGAATAGGATAGGACTATAACCGATTTGAAGGCGTCTCTATGAAGGACTTACACCGATGCAATGGGAAACACAATATGATTAAAATTATATCTTCGTATCGCTCCCGTAGCGACATATCAATAAACGGGAGCGATGTGAAGATATAATTTTAATTAGACTGTGGGAAATAGATGTTAATTTGAATTGAAGTATGGTATAAAAAAATCCAGGCGAGTTTTGATGATGATGATGATGATGATGGTATGATAATGATGATGATGATATGATGATGATGATGATGATGATGATGATGGTATGATAATGATGATGATGATGATGATGATGATGATGATGATGATCTGTAGGTAGAAATTCAAATGTCAACCCTTAACAGAGTCAAAATACGGAGCTAGACATTTTCGAATAACAAGATGTCATGATGAAAAGAAAACATTAATTTCTAGCTATAAGTATCGGATCACCTTGATGGTATTAGAGACCAAGTAACGTTTGACGTCCCCGTACCAGCTAACGGCCGGTAGGTATCACCGCTCACCGTAAAGAAATCTAGTTACGGACTACCGCCTGCTTTTTTTCACAAGCTCTCGTTTTTCTGCAAGAAATTAAACAGCAGAAATTACGCTCAATGTGAACCTTTTCCACCAAATAACAATACTATTTTGTTGTAAAGTTATATATTGATATTACCTTTGTTGCAGGACCATCGACTCTCCTCTCGTGCCACTTCCGGTTCCTGTTGCGGTTCTCCATTGCTGCGGTGGTGATTGTCTCCACCTCGTCCTTCCTTGCCTGCGTCGTTCTGTACAGGGGAGGCATCAAACGCGATCTGGCAGACAATCAGCTTATCTCTCCAAAGTTTGTCATCGACACGGACGGGTGTAAAATACCCTTTATTCATCCGTTCGACCCGTCCGTCATTCCATTTCTTGTGAAATCGGCAAACATCAAATGCAGTCATACAGTACCATCCTTAACGCTACAGACGTTGACTAAACTCACACTGAACTCGGCCGCTTTGCCATTCTATAGAAATTTAAGCTATTGCAAATACACGCCCATAGTTCGACCGAAAACCATTTCTAAGAAGTACTTTACTTTCCAGACAGATAAAAGTGTTTCTTTTCAAAAAGAATCGTCTATTAATACAGACTTCATTAAAGTAGAATGCTTTACGAAAGAAGATAAATCGCTGTACACGAATTTTCACGCATTTGCCGTGCCACAAAATAGCACAAAGCGTAGACGGCGATCCACGGAAGAAACGGAAGACCAAGCTTACAATGTCTTGATGCTTGGAATAGATTCCTTGTCCCGAAATAGCTTCTACCGGAATCTGCCAAAGACCCGCAAAACCCTTCTGGACAAATTAGGTGCCGTAGAGCTATTGGGATACAGCAAGGTCGGTGATAATACTTTCCCGAACCTCATCCCGATCACGCTTGGCATTTCTGTGAAGGAACTCCGACGTCGAGGCTGGAATCAGACAGTTCCTTTTGACGACTACGAGTTTATTTGGAACAAATTCTCGAACAATGGGTACACTACATTGTTTTCCGAGGATATGATTGATATAGGCCTATTCAATTATCTCAAGAAGGGATTCAAAAATGCCCCCGTCGATCACTTTTACGAGCCAATGGGGGCAGCAACGGAGGCCCATCCGAAACTATGGTCAAAGAAACACTGCTTCGGCGGAAGACTAGAGACTAAAATCATCCTGGATTACGTGTCCGATTTTCTAAATGTGTACAAGGATACTAGGACGTTCGGATTTGCCTATCTGAGCAGATTCTACCATAATTCTGATAATATTGTGAAAGAGTACGATGATGTCTTGACCGATTTTTTGGAAAATTTCATCAGGAACGATCATGCTCATAATACGGTGCTCATTGTGTTTAGCGATCACGGGTCACGATTCGGACATCTTCGTAAGTCTCCGGTTGGGCGCCTGGAAGAGAGATTACCTGCAACCTACATTGTTCTTCCGACCAATTTTACAATCGACGCACTCGAGGCCCTCTCCAATCTGCGCGAGAATGCCTGGAAGCTGACGACACCGTTCGACATTCACGAGACATTGATGGACATACTCTACCAGACCCAGAACAGAACTATCAATAGTACACACGGGATCAGTCTGTTCAGTGAAATCCCACCAGACAGAAACTGTCGGAGGGCAGGCATATCTAACCATTGGTGTACATGTAGTTTATTCAAAGATCTTGACGTTGCTTCAACGATCGCAAAGGATTTAGGACAATTGATGCTCAAATATGTCAATAAATTACTTTTGAAATACGAAAAGTTTTGCAGTCAGCTCGAGTTGAAGGCTATACACTATGTAGCGGAGTGGGATATCACTGGACGCAATAGCTCCGCTACATCTAATGCTGTCGTCAAACGGGACTACGTAATGAAGATGGAGACGACCCCCGGTGGTGCACTTCTGGAAACCACCATATTGTACCGGAACGGGAAATACTACATCCGTGACTATGACGGCATCAGTAGATTAAACATGTACATTGGACAGGCTGATTGTATAACAGCATATCCTGCTAAGAAAGTGTGCTTCTGTAAATCTCCCAAAGGTATTAAATAGACTCGTTCGTCTACGTTTGTCTTCAAATACTGTTTAAAACATGCCTGCTATACAATACCCCGGTCCCTATCTTAATTAGTTGCACAATATATAACTCGCTACATCCTTCCTTGTTGTAGGTATATTGCCCCTTTATTGATCGGCTATGTTACGTGGAAAATAGATTGGTGATAACTAATGTAACTTTTGGTTATTACATTTGCAAAATAGATAGGCCATCATCCTTGCACAATAGATGCACAGACAATCTTTTTTAACGTGAAATGTATTGGCTTTTAAACTTGCTCAATTGATTGGCTACGGTCAGTATTCAATGTATTGAATATATCTGCCATCATCCGTCTACGGTTATTCAGTTCCATCCTTTAGTTTCTTTAGGTCTTACGGTCCATATCTTTACTGTTTGCTCAATATATCAAGCATTGTTATTGAACAATAGATCCATTATCATTCTTGCATAAAAGAACGGCACTGCAAATGTGCAATAGAATAGTTCTTACTCTTTCCCTATAGGTTGGTTACAGACCTTGTAGGATTGATCGACTATTGCCCTTGTAAAACAGCTGCAATACTGTTTCACGCCTTATCAGGTAATAGTCAAATATATTTCCCTCGGTGATGGCACTAGTCTTACGATCTGTGCCACCTCAGGAAATAGTTCATTATCGTGGCTTCAAATAGCTGTTTTGCTTCCTAATCTATGTAAACTGATGATCGGACTAAATTTGATTGGCTGTTGCGCTTCTCTGATATCAGCCAATCAGAATTTGAAAGGCAAAGAAATAAATATTGCTAAGCAACATTTTGAAAGATCTGTTTGATAATACCCACGAATCTTAGAGCGGCTATATCATCTGTACATCAACTTTATATATCTACTAATGCCATTGTGCTAACGACATTGCATAATAGAACAGCATTCGCACTCTCCTTAGAAGGTCAATAGATCAGATTACCAACCTTTTCCTATTTTCACAATAAACCGGCACGGACATTGTACCCTCGATACTCCGGGTCGCTCTCTAACGTTCTATGTACCCCTGGGCTGGACATTGTCATGACGACATGGAGTCGTTACCCGACACGTTGTGAGAAGTACATATAAACTAGTTTGATCCTTTGATGTACATCATAGGAATAGCACGGCAACAAAATTGACCGACTTTGAAATCGGTTGCCACTCCTTTAACTTCAAAAGACAGTCACGTATCAACATTGCGTCTGATCGTTTTTATACACGAAATCAATCAAATAGCCAACGTATACGTAGTGCCTTCAATTGTATCATGACACGAGTGTAACCCCAGGACTGTCGAGGATGACATCACATAAATAATGACAGAAGTCGACTCGGTCATGTTAATAATACAACGTCACCTTACAATTAGTAATATTTTTAATATTAATAGAATTAGAAAATATATATGAAAATGGCTGTGATAATTTCAAAAGATTGCTTTCTCAGATCTGGATATAATACATTCTTAAATTCATTTTCACTGAAATCACTAATGCGGCTTGATAAACATAAGCCATACACCAACATGTACTTTTAGTGTGAATTCACCACATTAGCATACACCATTACTGCAGCTGTTACAATACAATACCTATTTTACCATGTGCAGCAGTCAAAGGGTGATGCTTTATATCACTGTACACCTAGGCTACAGGTGAGGGACCTTGAACTCCAGCTCACAGACTTGTTGCTGCTGGTATTAAATGACATGGTAAAACTTCATTATAATGCCTCTGTTATATGTACAACCTCCCTTACAATGGTAACTATAAGGGATATTGTCTTTCCAGCACTCTTCATAATTTCTCTATATTTCTGCATGGATATATCGCCTATACAGAGATTTTAAGCTGATTTGTCAAAGGCATTTGAATGAAGTTATTTATCATTCTGTAATTCCATTTTAAAATGATTAAATCTGAAATTGGAAACTTGGAGAAAGGAGGTGGATCTGAAGTATCAAACAATAGTCATCCTCCAAGAGACTGAATGGAATACTCATCTAAAATTTTGTAAAAAGAAGATGAAACATTTACTCAAAACTCTGAATTTCCAGTGAACAAATTGTCTGGGTTAATTATATTGGGAATAGCTTTTGACCTATTTCCAAAATTGAGATTAAGGTAAAGGGTACCACAGCACCAGTCATAATGAGGAAGAAGACTTACATTTCAGTGCTGTTGGTTTTTCAAAGTTGTGGGAACAAAAAGATCCTCTTTGGCTCACGAGTTATCTCCCTTGTCAGTGTAGTCATCTTTCATTTTTATGCTGTGTATTTGTGATGCATCATTCATCGATAGCAACATTGGTGAAAGGTAATATTTACATTGTACAGACTCTGAGTTTGACTGCTTTAGCCTTTTGTTATTTTGTTTTTGTTTTTTAGTACTCAAATGTTGTATGTTTGTGATCTATATGAAATTCTTCTGTAGAAAAAGACTTATTCATTCAACATAAATTCCATAGCAGTTTGAGTGGTAATACCAGTAACATGCTATGTATTCTAAATGTATTGTATTGAGCGTTATATATAACAGGTCTTCTTAGGAACATATGCTTGTGTATACTGTTTATAGGAGTAGGATCCAGCTAAGTTCGGTTTGTTTGCTATTTTGTTCCAGGAACATTAATAGTCTATTATCTTTGTGACTAATCCTGTATTTAACAAAATTTACACGTTTTATATTTGGCACTTTTGTTTCAAATCAAGATTATGTGAACATTTTACCGAATATTGTTACACATTAATTACAATTATCATTGAACACAGAAATGAAAAAGAGAGTCTGGTGATATTGAAAACAATTCTTTTATAATCATAGCACTTTCATAACAAATAAATTTAAAACCCAATCAGGACATTCAGGTTTTGTTCTTTAGATGTTTAATGTACATAAATGGTTGCCATACATGTGTAATTATATTATAGAGCATGATATTTACATTCAAAATTTACATAGCAAATCAATATCACTTTTCATATGCTGTCTTACAAACTAAGCCTGGTATTTATAGTTACCTCCCTTTGATGGGGATGTTTTTATTACTAGTAAGCATGAACATTTCATGTGTACATATTCAAATATACATGCAATTAATAAACCAAATCCAAATGATCAATCATGAAAGATATCTTACAAATTTTTTGAGTGGATCTTTTGGAAAAATATTTTGAGTGGATCTTTTGGAAAATAGAAAATAATGTCACAGCACATACATGTATCCTTAAATCGAAAAGACTGAAATGTACATCAATTTTATATATATTTAGAACAATCTTGAATAAGATTATGCAAGGTACCTGATATTAACTTACAAATGAATTGCTGAACAAATTAATATCAATATTGATCATTTTTTGAAACACGATTGAGGGAGTTACCTTTTCATTTTATATACATGAGATTGACATAATATTACAGTACATGTATATAGTGTAAATATTAATTGTATGAATAAATACATCATGGCCCTCTCAGTAATACAGACATACAGAAATGTCTACTTTGAAAATACTCAGACTTGTCCTGCAGTGCCAGCTAGCTAGAGCTCGAGGTAGCCTTGCTTACGTCCATTTTTACAGCATGCACTAACTGATTCAAACAAATTGACTCGGTGTTGTTAACCGGATAAAACAAGAGGCCCAGAGGGCCTGTATCGCTCACTTGAATATATGTTTAAAATAATTGGTGTGAAGTAAAGATATAGCACTCCATGGTAGGTGCTATAAGTACATATGAAATTTCAGAAAGATCCATTAAGTACTTGAGATATAGCAAGAACAAACTTCAAACAGAGCCCTACCCCTATGCCCTAAGTGGGTCATACCCGCCATTTATACAAAATTCAGTTCCCTTTACTCAAGGATGCTCCAGGGGGGGGCACACTCGCTGTTTATACGTAATTAAGTCCCTTTTGCCCAAGGTATCTCCAGACTAAATAAGGATAATATCCCTTAATCCCTATGGTAGAAGTAGGATTATAAAGGTTTTACCTCTATTTCCATTTCCCCTATTGCCCCCCCCCCCCCCCCCCCCCCCCCGGGCNNNNCCCCAAGGTGGGCCACAAAATTTATACAAAATTGGTTCCCCTTTACCCAAGGATGCTCCACAACAAATATGGACCAAATCCTTTCATTCCTACAAAAGAAGAAGGATTTTGAAGAACATTTGCTATGTTTCCCCTATTGGGCCCCTCCCTTCAGGCCCCTGGGGGCCCAGACCCATGGTTTATACAAAATTGGTTTCCCCTTCATCCAAGGATGCTTCAGACCAAATATGGAACAAATCCTTTTATTCCTACAGAAGAAGAAGGATTTTTAAGAATTTGCTATATTTCCCCTATTAAGCCCCGCCCCTCAGCCCTCAGGGGGGCCACACCCAAAATTCAAAATTGGTTCCCCTTCAACCAAGAATGCTTCTGACCAATTATGGACCAAATCCTTTCATTTCTACAGAAGAAGAAGGATTTTGAAGAAGAATTTGCTATGTTTCCCCTATTGGGCCCCGCCCCTCAGGTCCCTGGGGGGCCAGACCCACGGTTTATACAAATTGGTTCCCCTTCACCAAAGGATGCTTCAGACCAAATATAGAACAAATCCTTTCATTCCTACAGAAGAAGCAGGATTTTAAAGAATTTGCTATATTACCCCTATTGGGCCCTGGCCCTCAGCCCCCAGAGGGGCCACACCCACAATTTATACAAGATTTGTTCCCCTTCCCCCAAGGATGCTTCTGACCAAATTTGGTTAAAATCTGCTCAGTTGTTCATGACAAGTAGTGTTTTATAGGAAAAGTTGACGACCGACGGACGACGGACACTGCGGTATGGCATAAGCTCACCATGGTCCTTTGGACCAGGTGAGCGAAAAAACCATACAGAACACAATTGCTGAGCAAACATGTTAAGCATAGTACTAGCTAGAAACTAAATCACATATGAAAAATGTATCCTTACTAAATTGTTCCTAATAAGGTAATATATAATCCATTTGACAGAAACATATGTAAATTTAAAATACAAACCTTCACAACATTTCAGAATGGGTATCTAAGGAATCTTAGTTTTTGCAAATTCATTTAATACACCTTTACCAATTCAGCAAAATTCAAAGTAAAAGTATCAACTCTCATTATATCATGGACACCATGTAAGTATAGGTCAACACAACCAATACTCTGATCCCGAGAGCCATCCTCTACACAACAGAACACAGCAAATCAGAACATTGGAAAATACAGCAAGAAACAGGACAGAAGATGATTCAATTTAAGAGGAAAACACCTGATAACCCCTTCTGTAGAAATACCAAGTTTGTGTACGGTCATAATACCTTAACATATTTTCACAAATTTTAGAAACAGAATTATGGAACTTGAGCTACTGTGACTTTCTCTTTGTTTCTATTTGTTTCACTATGCTTATACTCAGCTTATCAACGAGAAATTGCATAGTTATGCATTTATCTAAGGAATCAACTATGCAAATTTATGGATATATATTTCTACAATTTCCATTCTAAAAATGATCGAAATGAATTCAATTTGACCAATAAATTCATAAACTTAGAATGTCAAGTCAAAAATTTGATTAAGATTCATCTCAAAGAAAAATTCTCTTGTAAGTATTATGAATTTATCAATAACTTAGAAATTTCAAAATCAAAATGAGACTTACTAAATGTATTTGCATTTTCATAATTATAGAGTTACATATTCTATGTTATCAGATTGACAATCAACAGTCAGCAATATTTGATGATTTGTGATGATAATCACTTGTTTGTGGATTTGTTTACTTGTACAGCTTCATACTCGGGCCTTGTATAAATCCTTTTTAAGATCTACTGCGACTTTCATGATCTCCTTCTCAAACGAGTTCCATTCCCAATACATCATTGATGAACAGGATTATAAAGTGGTTTATTATATAAACTAATGAAACACTGTAACTGTACATAAATATACAAACACCTGCTTATTTGACAGCGTGAAGTGTCATAATAAACAGACTAAGGGAAGTAATTCTAAAAATTAACGGGTAAACTTAATACCTAGAGGGAAGATGTTAAGAATACACTTGTTGGTATTTAGAGTTACTCAACAAACACACTTTTTATAAACATTCTTAAGAGAAAAAAAAATCAAGGCAATGATCCAGGGAGAAAAATCAACAGCACAGGTGTGTATATTGACTGAGTAAAGGATAGCACAGTTAACTTTGAAGTTCAAGTGGAAATTCCTTATTTATGCAAAGGAAGCCATCAGTTATCTTGATAAATACATTTATTTACTCAGGACTCTGTGTGCCTTTACACACATGCATGTCTATGTATAATACACAGGTCAGGACTCTGTGTGCCGATTTCTTGGGAATTGTTTGTTTGATTGCACTCTTTCAGCAATGTCCATAATAATCAGAGACAATTTTATTGGGCATCTCATGGTACAGAATGAATCTAAATTATTGACAGCTATTTTAATGCCAGCATAAGTAGCAACAAAATACCTCTACAGAGTTGACTGGTAGATTTTGTATGTCTGTACTGAGTGATGACTAGGGCTAAGGAATCAGTCACTACACACAGTGAAGAAAAAAGATTATCTCTCTTTGTCTTGAGTTGTTTCCCTTTACCATCATGATCTACACCACAGCCGTTTGCGTTTAAATGGTCAAACCGGTCGGACCATAGTTGTTTGTTTATTGAATAATTATAAGGTTGGACCTAATAATCTGAAAAGCCTTGCAAGGCCTGCATGAACATTTGTAGGTCCACCAGGATTTATACCCTAAATTGTTACATTTATAAACGGTCAAATCGGTTGTTCCGCATAAACGAACAGGCCCCACATCTACATGTGGCAAAATACTGCTTAACCTGCTTCTTGCAACCTTCCGAGAGACAGATGGAAAAAGTAGGGTAAAACAAGACTTAACTTTCACCAAACTTGTATTTTATGGAGAAAATGAATTTGATGTGACACTTAGTGAATAGTTTATGAAATAAAGTTTCTTGATACAGTACACATGGTTTCTATCTAAGATAATGTTCTAAATATTGCTAGGATGGAACGTTTTGAAAATAAATGAACAATGAGAAAAAAATGTACAGAAAATCTATCTTTATCTTCAAAAATGCCTTCTATGCCACTCCCCTTGTAAAACATTTTTTTGGTTCCAATGCGTATCTGCCGGTAAAATTGGTTAATATGTTATTACATGAAGTAGCAACCCAGATGTCTATGATTCAAATGTATTTTTCTTAGGAAACTATTACATATCTTTCACAATGTACCAATGTAAACTCTTACACCACATTTACAAAAAGATTTCCAAATAATCTACATCTCTTTACAGGAAAGATCACAATCTCCCTTTACAGGAAAGATCACAATCTCTGGTTATGATCGCTGGTGACAGAACAGATCTGGATCACGGATCATAGTCTCTTTTTAGACAAAAGACTACCTGGTACTGATTTCTCCCTTTTTAACAGGAGTAATCCAAACAATTTAAATCTCTGTACAAAAGAAAATATCTCACTTATTTATTTCCCTTTTGGTGCAGGAAATATCCTACAATGTAATCACAGCTATCTTATCACAGGGACATTCGTGATTTTGATGTCCAACACCACAGTGTTGAAATGAAGCCAAGCTGTCCTTCCTTGACAAGCCACACTATATACACATTACTTTATACTCAGCTATCCCTGTGGTAGTCGGGGTGAATACATCAAGTATTGGTCAACTGACATCAGACAACACTGTTGATATTGCAGTTGATGATATAAAGGAGATAAATATGAAAGACAAAGGTTCTCTATGGTTGTGATGAGTTGTATATATGGCTAGACGAGTACAATGGTTTGGCGAGTTCACTTGCGAGTACACGGCCAGTCTAGTCCTCCACACGCAGCAGAAATAATGAAGTACAAGATCACCTACAAACATAATGCATATGAAAATTTAGATACAAAATCTTAAATATCAAAATGATGTCAAAATTGTAAAATTAACAAATATTGTTTAAACTATATTGAGACAGGATCATTGTGAGTTAAGTAAGTACTATGAAAGCACTATAATATGATGATTATTACTGTCTTATGATAAAATACGGACATTTTTATTTGCTTTAAGTAGCAAAAACACATAGGGTCAGAGTAAGAATTTAGAAAATTAACAATGGTGCTGAATCTTCTACCTTTCAAAATGGGAATCAAAAGTGTTTTAAAAAGGAAAAGTGTTCCCAGTTTTCTGAGCTTCATATGATTCCAGCCAAAACCTTTAAGTACTTTGTGCATATTGTCAAGATTGACAATATTTCAATCAGGAAAATATATTCATCCCTTAATACATAAACAGTCACTCTCTTTAAGATCTGAAAGATTATCTTCAATCTATTTCTAACCATCGGTGCCAAGTCAAGTATTCCAGTGAGGTTATACTTACAATGACAATTACAGCAATAATGATGGTGATTTTCATGTTTTTAAACCACATTGATCGTGCTAAGGTTCTGCTACTCTTCTTAAAGGTGACCGCCTGTATAATAAAGTACAACATATAAACATCTGATCAATTTTAGTAGTTTGCAAAAAAAATGTAAATAACATTTGAAATTAAAAAAAAAATCTGTTATTTGCGCCTTTTGTTCAGTTTTAGACAGTGGTTTTAATATTGTTCTATTTTATATTTTATATTGAAATCCACACTCTCCTAACAAAAGATGCTCTCTTTAAAACATCTGGAGAAAGTCCTGAGATGAGGAACTAGTGCTGAATGTCACTACAATTTACATTTGAAATAGATGATCTAAATTAAGGATCCCTGCCCTACTACTCTGGGTTTTTTCTATACAGTAACCTCCCCTTAAGCTTCCATGTCCCACTGCTCTGGGTTTTTCTATACAGTATACAGTAACCTCCCCTTAAGGATCCCTGTCCCACTGCTCTGGGTTTTTCTATACAGTAACCTCCCCTTAAGGATCCCTGTCCCACTGCTCTGGGTTTTTTCTATACAGTAACCTCCCCTTAAGCTTCCATGTCCCACTGCTCTGGGTTTTTCTATACAGTATACAGTAACCTCCCCTTAAGGATCCCTGTCCCACTGCTCTGGGTTTTTTTCTATACAGTAATCTCCCCTTAGGGATCCCTGTCCCACTAATCTGGATTTTTTTTATACAGTAACCTCCCCTTAAGGATCCCTGTCCCACTACTCTGTGTTTTTTCTATACAGTAATCTCCCCTTAAGAATACCTGTCCCACTACTCTGGGTTTTTTCTATACAGTAATCTCCCCTTAAGAATACCTGTCCCACTACTCTGGGTTTTTTCTATACAGTAATCTCCCCTTAGGGATCCCTGTCCCACTAATCTGGTTTTTTTTTATACAGTAACCTCCCCTTAAGGATCCCTGTCCCACTGCTCTTAGGGTTTTCTATACAGTAACCTCCCCTTAAGAATCCACGTCCAACTACTCTTGGGGTTTTCTATACAGTAACCTCCCCTTAAGGATCCCTGTCCCACTGCCCTGGGTTTTTTCTATACAGTAACCTCCTCTTAAGGATCCCTGTCCCACTGCTCTTGGGGTTTTCTATACAGTAACCTCCCCTTAAGGACCCCTGTCCCACTGCTCTGGGGTTTTTCTATACAGTATACAGTAACCTCCCCTTAAGGATCCCTGTCCCACTGCTCTTGGGGTTTTCTATACAGTAACCTCCCCTTAAGGATCCCTGTCCCACTGCTCTGGGTTTTTTCTATACAGTAACCTCCCCTTAAGGATCCCTGTCCCACTGCTCTGGGTTTTTTCTATACAGTAACCTCCCCTTAAGGATCCCTGTCCCACTGCTCTGGGTTTTTTCTATACAGTAACCTCCCCTTAAGGATCCCTGTCCCACTGCTCTGGGTTTTTTCTATACAGTAACCTCCCCTTAAGGATCCCTGTCCCACTGCTCTGGGTTTTTTCTATACAGTATACTCCCCTTAAGGATCCCTGTCCCACTGCTCTGGGTTTTTTCTATACAGTAACCTCCCCTTAAGGATCCCTGTCCCACTGCTCTGGGTTTTTTCTATACAGTAACCTCCCCTTAAGGATCCCTGTCCCACTGCTCTGGGTTTTTTCTATACAGTAACCTCCCCTTAAGGATCCCTGTCCCACTGCTCTGGGTTTTTTCTATACAGTAACCTCCCCTTAAGGATCCCTGTCCCACTGCTCTGGGTTTTTTCTATACAGTAACCTCCCCTTAAGGATCCCTGTCCCACTGCTCTGGGTTTTTTCTATACAGTAACCTCCCCTTAAGGATCCCTGTCCCACTGCTCTGGGTTTTTTCTATACAGTAACCTCCCCTTAAGGATCCCTGTCCCACTGCTCTGGGTTTTTTCTATACAGTAACCTCCCCTTAAGGATCCCTGTCCCACTGCTCTGGGTTTTTTCTATACAGTAACCTCCCCTTAAGGATCCCTGTCCCACTGCTCTGGGTTTTTTCTATACAGTAACCTCCCCTTAAGGATCCCTGTCCCACTGCTCTGGGTTTTTTCTATACAGTAACCTCCCCTTAAGGATCCCTGTCCCACTGCTCTGGGTTTTTTCTATACAGTAACCTCCCCTTAAGGATCCCTGTCCCACTGCTCTGGGTTTTTTCTATACAGTAACCTCCCCTTAAGGATCCCTGTCCCACTGCTCTGGGTTTTTTCTATACAGTAACCTCCCCTTAAGGATCCCTGTCCCACTGCTCTGGGTTTTTTCTATACAGTAACCTCCCCTTAAGGATCCCTGTCCCACTGCTCTGGGTTTTTTCTATACAGTAACCTCCCCTTAAGGATCCCTGTCCCACTGCTCTGGGTTTTTTCTATACAGTAACCTCCCCTTAAGGATCCCTGTCCCACTGCTCTGGGTTTTTTCTATACAGTAACCTCCCCTTAAGGATCCCTGTCCCACTGCTCTGGGTTTTTTCTATACAGTAACCTCCCCTTAAGGATCCCTGTCCCACTGCTCTGGGTTTTTTCTATACAGTATACAGTAACCTCCCCTTAAGGATCCCTGTCCCACTGCTCTGGGTTTTTTTCTATACAGTTTACAGTAACCTCCCCTTAAGGATCCCTGTCCCACTGCTCTGGGTTTTTTCTATACAGTATACAGTAACCTCCCCTTAAGGATCCCTGTCCCGCTGCTCTGGGGTTTTTCTATACAGTATACAGTAACCTCCCCTTAAGGATCCCTGTCCCACTGCTCTGGGGGTTTTCTACACAGTAACCTCCCCTTAAGGATCCCTGTCCCACTGCTCTGGGGTTTTTCTATACAGTATACAGTAACCTCCCCTTAAGGATCCCTGTCCCACTGCTCTGGGTTTTTTCTATACAGTAACCCCCTATAACTTCTGTATGGATATAACCCTAGAACAGTCTAGCCCTACTGATTTTTATTCACCAAGAACACTGTTGTTGATTATATTTTGTTTATTTCATCTTTATTATTTCTCACAAAAATCCCGCATTGTTATGCTTTTTTCTTCAGAAATTATTTATAAAAGCTAGAGTCATAGCAGAAAAATAACAAGCAGCATACTTACGTACCTATGATTTTATGAAACAAGAATTAACAAGTTTCCTAAACTTAATATCATCACAATGTTCTGTGGTATCTCAATGGGAGATATTACATGCATGTGATAGGTTTACTAACACAGCATAATAGCCTCAGCATGCAACAGCCCTCTTATATTGCAGTCACTTTTATTTGATAAATTGTGTATCTTAGAGATATTTGATAATCAGACACTTGTGACAGTAATTTTAGAAAAAATAGTGATAAAAATGTCAATACCTGGTAGTATTCACAGCCCTTGCAATTTGTTTGAGCTACATATTCAAGTATAAATTGTGTGTAGTTAACCTACATCTATCTTTTAACACAAAAAAAACATTTGTCAAAAGTATGTGAAGCCATGTGGGCTGAGTCTAACAAAAATATTCTACTAAGTACATCTAGTATCTACACCTAAGATAACAATAAAGCATGGTTGGGTCACTTACATTGGAGCTAAGTACATCTAGTATCTATACCTATGATAACAATAAAACATGGTTGGGTCACTTACATTGGAGCTAAGTCCATCTAGTATCTACACCTAAGATAACAATAAAGCATGGTTGGGTCACTTACATTGGAGCTAAGTACATCTAGTATCTATACCTAAGATAACAATAAAGCATGGTTGGGTCACTTACATTGGAGCTAAGTCCATCTAGTATCTACACCTAAGATAACAATAACACATGGCTGGGTCACTTACATTGGAGCTATAATTACATCTAGTATCTACACCTAAGATAACAATAACAATTGCTTGGGTCACTTACATTGGAGCTAAGTACATCTAGTATCTATACCTATGATAACAATAAAGCATGGTTGGGTCACTTACATTGGAGCTATAATTACATCTAGTATCTACACCTAAGATAACAATAAAGCATGGTTGGGTCACTTACATTGGAGCTAAGTACATCTAGTATCTACACCTAAGATAACAATAAAACATGGTTGGGTCACTTACATTGGAGCTAAGTACATCTAGTATCTACACCTAAGATAACAATAACACATGGTTGGGTCACTTACATTGGAGCTAAGTACATCTAGTATCTACACCTAAGATAACAATAACACATGGTTGGGTCACTTACATTGGAGCTAAGTACATCTAGTATCTACACCTAAGATAACAATAACACATGGTTGGGTCACTTACATTGGAGCTAAGTACATCTAGTATCTACACCTAAGATAACAATAACACATGGTTGGGTCACTTACATTGGAGCTAAGTACATCTAGTATCTACACCTAAGATAACAATAACACATGGTTGGGTCACTTACATTGGAGCTAAGTACATCTAGTATCTACACCTAAGATAACAATAACACATGGTTGGGTCACTTACATTGGAGCTAAGTACATCTAGTATCTACACCTAAGATAACAATAACACATGGTTGGGTCACTTACATTGGAGCTAAGTACATCTAGTATCTACACCTAAGATAACAATAACACATGGTTGGGTCACTTACATTGGAGCTAAGTACATCTAGTATCTACACCTAAGATAACAATAACACATGGTTGGGTCACTTACATTGGAGCTAAGTACATCTAGTATCTACACCTAAGATAACAATAACACATGGTTGGGTCACTTACATTGGAGCTAAGTACATCTAGTATCTACACCTAAGATAACAATAACACATGGTTGGGTCACTTACATTGGAGCTAAGTACATCTAGTATCTACACCTAAGATAACAATAACACATGGTTGGGTCACTTACATTGGAGCTAAGTACATCTAGTATCTACACCTAAGATAACAATAACACATGGTTGGGTCACTTACATTGGAGCTAAGTACATCTAGTATCTACACCTAAGATAACAATAACACATGGTTGGGTCACTTACATTGGAGCTAAGTACATCTAGTATCTACACCTAAGATAACAATAACACATGGTTGGGTCACTTACATTGGAGCTAAGTACATCTAGTATCTACACCTAAGATAACAATAACACATGGTTGGGTCACTTACATTGGAGCTAAGTACATCTAGTATCTACACCTAAGATAACAATAACACATGGTTGGGTCACTTACATTGGAGCTAAGTACATCTAGTATCTACACCTAAGATAACAATAACACATGGTTGGGTCACTTACATTGGAGCTAAGTACATCTAGTATCTACACCTAAGATAACAATAACACATGGTTGGGTCACTTACATTGGAGCTAAGTACATCTAGTATCTACACCTAAGATAACAATAACACATGGTTGGGTCACTTACATTGGAGCTAAGTACATCTAGTATCTACACCTAAGATAACAATAACACATGGTTGGGTCACTTACATTGGAGCTAAGTACATCTAGTATCTACACCTAAGATAACAATAACACATGGTTGGGTCACTTACATTGGAGCTAAGTACATCTAGTATCTACACCTAAGATAACAATAACACATGGTTGGGTCACTTACATTGGAGCTAAGTACATCTAGTATCTACACCTAAGATAACAATAACACATGGTTGGGTCACTTACATTGGAGCTAAGTACATCTAGTATCTACACCTAAGATAACAATAACACATGGTTGGGTCACTTACATTGGAGCTAAGTACATCTAGTATCTACACCTAAGATAACAATAACACATGGTTGGGTCACTTACATTGGAGCTAAGTACATCTAGTATCTACACCTAAGATAACAATAAAGCATGGTTGGGTCACTTACATTGGAGCTAAGTACATCTAGTATATATACCTAAGATAACAATAAAGCATGGTTGGGTCACTTACATTGGAGCTAAGTACATCTAGTATCTATACCTAAGATAACAATAAAGCATGGTTGGGTCACTTACATTGGAGCTAAGTACATCTAGTATCTACACCTAAGATAACAATAAAGCATGGTTGGGTCACTTACATTGGAGCTAAGTACATCTAGTATCTACACCTAAGATAACAATAACACATGGTTGGGTCACTTACATTAGAGCTTAGCTCATCTGTTTTATCAACTAATAGCTCGAGTCTCTCTTCTCGATCTGCAATTTGATCTGAAAAATAATGTCAAGTTTTACTATTAAGCCTTATACACATTTATATAGATGTAAAACATATATCCATTTGCTTTATATTGGGTGATCAAAATAAACTGTAACAAGAGTGTATTTTGTCAGATCTAGAACTCTGATCAAACTGGCCATGCAATGTCACACTCGACCCAATCAATTATTAACTTGATCTTGTCAGATGACTGGACATGAACTTATAAACAATTGTTTATGAAACAATATAAACACATCTTTATGACATCACAATATAAACACATCTTTATGACATCACAATATAAACACATCTTTATGACATCACAATATATTGCCCATGCTACGCTTCCTCTGAAGCTTTCTTCAAAACAATCAACATATTTAGAAGTAATTTGCAAACATTTAGCGATTCAATCAGCATGATAAATTCATTACATTACAAAGTGTTTGATAATTACTGACCAAACAGGATACTGATCTGGTCTGTAAGGCTGGTAACTTCAGAAATGTACTACATATGCAACCTACCAATATTTCTGACCATGATGCCCTTGAGTTCATCGACCTGACCTTGTACCTTCTCTACATGGTCTTGCTCTTGATTTTCTGTTACAAATTTCTAAAATACACAAACCAGTTTACGTGTTATTTATTTCTCAGAGACAAAACTTCAAAAATATCATGGGGATTAATTTCCCAATTAAAAGAACTTGTAAAAATGACAACAATACAATTTAATTCAAAGAACAGCAGTCATACCATTTGTGAGGCCATAACACGTGAGAACTCGCTGTTCATAGCGTAGGGGAGAGCTGTCTGGGCCCGCACACCATACTGAGCCTGGAATCTGTAAATATCACAAAAACAATATACTTACATACTTACATACTTACTAATAAATACAGGATTATTGTATATATGCGATAAGACACAATTGCTCTTACCCATATATCAGCCCTTGCTGTATCACACTCCAAAACCTGTATTAGCCCCCCCCATATCAGTCCGCAAAACCTGTATCACACCCCCTTTATATGAAATTTTTCTTTCTTCAATATTTCAAAAGTAAAACAGATCATAAGATAGTAGATATATCTGTATTGTATTAGTAAGTATGTAATAAACAGAATAAAACATGCATTTTTCCATATCACACCCAGTATCGAAGGCCTGGGGCTGATATTAGAGTTTCGGGTTGATCGATACTTGGTGTGATATGGAAAAAGGCATGTATTATCATATATATACAACAATGTTTTATATAACTACTATTATATATGTATGCGTAATATTTACATAGGCCTCAAAACTAAAACTGGTTAATGATCATTATCATCGTAAAATGTATATTATTAATCAATAGACAATACATACTTTAGGCATAGTTATTTTAGCAATAATATTTTTAGCACTCTTTGGGCTAATTTGAATCATGCCGGATGCCTTTAACTTCACAGCTGTCATCAATGTGCAGAAATACTTTAATGTTTTGTACATTGATGTGTATGTAATTGCATATTTAATTTTTTAACAAGAAGTAATGTATTACCTTCGCTTTACTTCATTCAGGAATAAAAATGCCTTTGATCTCTCAAAATCCTGTAAGATATAAAGGGAAAAATTCAACAATCTTATCTTTTATTATACCATAACAAATATACATGTAAAGTATATTCATATATGGAAATAGTTGTTTCCTATGTAAAGTATATTCATATATGGAAATAGTTGTTTCCTATGGTAAGTATAATCATATATGGAAATAGTTGTTTCCTATAGAAACAGAATGTTAGGTTAAAATATGGAAAAATGCTTTCACAAAATTATCCGGTAATATGAACTGTATTCCCATGTTTGTTGAAGTAATTCTAACTTGGTGCAATAGTTTTAATCATAATAACAAACCGCTATGTAAGGGCAGTAGGTACAACATTCCATTTGAAATATATATCTAATATTAATACGAGCTTTAATTTGTAAGTTTCGATGACATAATGTTTTCAGCATTCAAGATTAATTAATACAGTAAATTACATTTACAGAGATATATTCATATATATCATGTATAATAACAATTAATACTGATTAATATTCCTGTTGCAAAATATTGTTTAAACATTAATCCATTTGAACAGAAATAGAGCATGTTCTGTACTTACATCATCTGTTATACATAAGTACACAATTCTGTCATCGCATATGTAATGAAACAGGTAACTGCAAATACAAAAAGAAAGAAAAAAATTAACAGAGAACTTTGGTTTTGCAATGAACTGGCATTTTGTAGTTGATTCATACTTGGCTGATTTGAGTACAGAGTATTCAGTCCCCACTCACACACTCTGTACAGAGTATTCAGTCCCCACTCACACATTCTGTACAGAGTATTCAGTCCCCACTCATACCCTCTGTACAGAGTATTCAGTCCCCAATCACACACTCTGTACAGAGTATTCAGTCCCCACTCACAGACTCTGTACAGAGTATTCAGTCCCCACTCACAGCCTCTGTACAGAGTATTCAGTCCCCACTCACAGACTGTGTACAGAGTATTCAGTCCCCACTCACACACTCCGTACAGAGTATTCGGTCCCCACTCACACATTCTGTACAGAGTATTCATGCAGTCCCCACTCACACACTCTGTACAGAGTATTCAGTCCCAACTCACACATTCTGTACAGAGTATTCAGTCCCCACTCACAGACTCTGTACAGAGCATTGAGATCAGTCCCCATTCACACACTCTGTACAGAGAGTTCAGTCCCCACTCACACATTCTGTACAGAGTATTCATGCAGTCCCCACTCACACACTCTGTACAGAGTATTCAGGCCCCACTCACAGACTCTGTACAGAGTATTCAGTCCCCATTCACACACCCTGTACAGAGTATTCAGTCCCCACTCACACATTCTGTACAGTAGTCAGTCCCCACTCACACACTCTGTACAGAGTATCCAGTCCCCACTCACAGACTCTGTACAGAGTATTCAGTCCCCACTCACCCACTCTGTACAGAGTATTCAGTCCCCACTCACAGACACTGTACAGAGTATTCAGTCCCCACTCACACACTCCGTACAGAGTATTCGGTCCCCACTCACACATTCTGTACAGAGTATTCATGCAGTCCCCACTCACACCCTCTGTACAGAGTATTCAGTCCCCACTCACAGACTGTGTACAGAGTATTCAGTCCCCACTCACACACTCCGTACAGAGTATTCGGTCCCCACTCACACATTCTGTACAGAGTATTCATGCAGTCCCCACTCACACACTCTGTACAGAGTATTCAGTCCCAACTCACACATTCTGTACAGAGTATTCAGTCCCCACTCATACCCTCTGTACAGAGTATTCAGTCCCCACTCACACAATCTGTACAGAGTAGTCAGTCCCCACTCACACACTCTGTACAGAGTATTCAGTCCCTATTCACACACTCTGTACAGAGTATTCAGTCCCCACTCACCCACTCTGTACAGAGTATTCAGTCCCCACTCACAGACTCTGTACAGAGTATTGAGATCAGTCCCCATTCACACACTCTGTACAGAGTGTTCAGTCCCCACTCACACATTCTGTACAGAGTATTCATGCAGTCCCCACTCACACACTCTGTACAGAGTATTCAGTCCCCACTCACAGACTCTGTACAGAGTATTCAGTCCCCACCCACAGACTCTGTACAGAGTATTCAGTCCCCATTCACACACTCTGTCCAGAGTATTCAGTCCCCACTCACAGACTCTGTACAGAGAATTCAGACCCCACTCACAGACTCTATACAGAGTATTCAGTTTCCACTCACACACTCTGTACAGAGTATTCAGCCCCCACTCACACACTCTGTACAGAGTATTCAGGCCCCACTCACAGACTCTGTACAGAGAATTCAGTCCCCACTCACATACTCTATACAGAGTATTCAGTCTCCACTCACACATTCTGTACAGAGTATTCATGCAGTCCCCCCTCACACACTCTGTACAGAGTATTCAGTCCCAACCCACAGACTCTGTACAGAGTATTCAGTCCCCCCTCACAGACTCTATACAGAGTATTCAGTCTCCACTCACACACTCTGTACAGAGTATTCAGACCCCACTCACAGACTCTGTACAGAGTATTGAGATCGGTCCCCATTCACACACTCTGTACAGAGTGTTCAGTCCCCCCTCACACATTCTGTACAGAGTATTCATGCAGTCCCCCCTCACACACTCTGTACAGAGTATTCAGTCCCAACCCACAGACTCTGTACAGAGTATTCAGTCCCCACCCACAGACTCTGTACAGAGTATTCAGTCCCCACCCACAGACTCTGTACAGAGTATTCAGTCCCCACCCACAGACTCTGTACAGAGTATTCAGTCCCCCCTCACAGACTCTATACAGAGTATTCAGTCCCCACTCACAGACACTGTACAGAGTATTAAGTCCCCACTCACACACTCTGTACAGAGTATTCAGCCCCCACTCACACACTCTGTACAGAGTATTCAGCCCCCACTCACACACTCTGTACAGAGTATTCAGCCCCCACTCACACACTCTGTACAGAGTATTCAGGCCCCACTCACAGACTCTATACAGAGTATTCAGTTTCCACTCACACACTCTGTACAGAGTATTCAGCCCCAACTCACACATTCTGTACAGAGTATTGAGTCCCCACTCACACACTCTGTACAGAGTGTTCAGTCCCCCCTCACACATTCTGTACAGAGTATTCATGCAGTCCCCACTCACACACCCTGTACAGAGTATTCAGTCCCCACTCACACACTGTACAGAGTATTCAGTCCCCACTCACAGACTCTGTGCAGAGAATTCAGTCCCCACTCACAGACTCTGTACAGAGAATTCAGTCCCCACTCACAGACTCTATACAGAGTATTCAGTCTCCACTCACACACTCTGTACAGAGTATTCAGTCCCCACTCACAGACACTGTACAGAGTATTCAGTCCCCACTCACACACTCTGTACAGAGTATTCAGTCCCCACTCACACATTCTGTACAGAGTATTCAGTCCCCATTCATACACTCTGTACAGAGTATAAGTACATTTTCATAATTACAATGTATGATATCTTACCTTCCATGAGAATATGTCAGTTTGGAATTTTCTGGTGCAATTTTGGATATAATTTGTTCTGTGACCTCAGTGAAGTTCCCGGCACAGCTGGCATATTTAGCCAGTACAGTGGCGCCTCTGGCAACAACTGCAAATAAGATGGGCATTTTGCCTTTCGTGTATGTGGCTGTAATCCCAAACTCTTCGGTTAGTTTTCGCTATTTTTTGTACTGAAAAGAAGAAGACTTATTGCAATTCAAATCAAATTAGAGTAAGTACAAGTAATTAGACAGTACATTTTACTTCACCTTCTTCAGTAAACCAGTCTCCAACAAGTAGAAGTATCAGGGAACCAGTAATCAATGCCTGACAGCTATATATATAGCGCACCTTCTATTTCTTCAAAATCTAAGAATGTTCTATTATTTTTGATATTCAGTGAATTTCTCATACAGGATACACCAGAAACTAAATATTCAAATATAAAATAACTATAAATAATTTTACACAATAATTATACCCAATGTTCATATACAATATTACATATGTAGCAGAAGTAGAGTGGGTCGATTGTTGGCAACCAACTGGTACTAACGTATAACATATATAGCTCATTGGTTAGAACATACATCTAGAATTTGGAGGTCCAGTATTCCAATACCAGTCTGCTGGCAGCAGCATTTTTTTCCTTTTCTGTTTTATTTGGCACCCAGCTAAATATAACAACTTGTTATGAGGTGTTTTTTTCGGGCTCAAGGACTTTGTTAAAGGAGGGAGCTAGGAATGTAGCAGAACTTGATTGTGTGATGTTTCCCCTATGGTCCATACCAGTGACACTGGAGATTCCGGCGAGTATATATACCCACCCCAACTGGGGTGTATCAATATTCTAGTATAGATGCAAATATATAAAGCGGTTCACAAATTATCATCCGTGGTTATAGGACCTTAATCTCCCCCATGGAAATTTTAAAAAGTTGGCAAGTATGATACAAATACATGTACTTATACTCATCATCAGCACCACTCAAATGATGTTTGTTTACTGGGAATTCGAAAGCCAACATCTTTCTCAACTCCCTGGGGAACATACAGCCGGTGCTGCTTTTTCGACGCTTACAGCTAGCATTCAATAGATGATATCGCGATCAGTGGAACTCTTCAAATAGGAGGGGATTTTACTGTACTCGCTGGGGCAACAGATATATAAACAACATGGCAGCGCCAAAACATTCAGATACGAATTTTCACGAACTTCCATGTAATGAATTGGGTAATATTTTAAAGTCAAAAGGTATCCCCTACTCCAAATAAGAATAAGGGGGAGCTAGTACACCTATGATAGCAAGCAAGACATGTTAAATTGGCCAGATATTGAAAAAGAGGACGAAGCTAAAGTGTCACAGTTGTGACGGACCGTCAGCGGCGTACAGAGTATCGTGTGTTACCTTTATGTAAATGATATGTCAGAAGGCTTGTTTTGGACAAACAATTTGATTGGAATGTCATAACTAAATGCATTTGATGTGACCTCTATTCTTGTGAGTTATTTTGTTGGTTCAATACAGTGAAGTAGGGGCATATTGTTTACACATAGCAGATTGTTTTGCCCCTGTATCCTCGCATGACTTGTGCATTTTCCGGCAAGAACTCTTTGAAGGGGAGTAACTCGTGGATGGTCGAGTTAACATCTATTCTAGCACTGCCCAACCACATACTCATTTACAGCTGAGTAGACTGGAACAAAGATACAACACAGTGCTGTGCCATGACTCGAATCGATATCTGCAACCCTTCGGTCACAAGCCCTGCACGCGTCCTTCCACTGTGGACTACTGTGCTTTGAAATACCGATGTAAAGTCTGATACAGTTTTTCTTTCCGTTTTATTACTACGCCCTGCAGGTTATCTGTTTACTCGGGAAGGCTCAACTGCTGTGCCAGTTCTTTTTGACAAGGTAGATTAGAAATTAGCTAATAAAAGGTAGGTCTATATGCTATCATAAGTGAATAATTAAATAGATTTACAGGGCTCTGACAATTATATAAGCTGACAACCGTCATTTACTTTGATACAATATTTGTTACAGTTACTTGTTAGGCCTAAGCGAATGTATTGGTGCTGGTGTCAGTTTCACGGAAGTGAATCAATCACAAATATGTTTATCTGACGTACATTATACAAACCTTGTTATATGTATACTACGCCGTTCTCTTCGCACTTAAGCCCGTTTATTACCGTGGTAATATAGCTATCACTATGCTACACAACACTTTTCCTGTTTCTGTGTGTTGACATTTTGCATAGTCACATGACTCATGATCACCCTCAAGTGACTTTTTATAATAATCATCATATCACGCGAGAGTGTAGCCTCCATTCAATATAAACTTATTTGTCACATAAAGATAAGCTACGAAAGTTCACACGCTGTTCTGTTTCAACAAACCTACCGTTTTAAATACGATACAACCTTCAGGCGTAGTCGATGTTTACAACATTACAGAGATGAACAGGAAGTGACGTAAAAGTGTTTCCCGCGGTAAATGAAATTTACGAATTGTGGTATAGAAAACGGAAACGTGACGTTACATTCACCATGATTCAGCATCACATGATGACAGAAGTAAGCTATATTTATCCATAACCTAGTCTAGTTGCATTAAGATAATTCTAAAGACTTAAAACAGTACTGTACGTAGTAGTCCGTCTGCCATTGGCTTTGGACTCATAATTTTATTTTTATATAGCATATATCGCGATATAACTAAAAAGTTCATCATCATTATATTATTTTGGGTGTATTCAGAACTTTGTATTATCTTCAGTCATAGCTATCGCAAAATAAATGTCATAGAAAGGTATTAAACCCGATGAATGTAATGAAATCGTTAATTAAGAGACTAATTGTGCATGAAGATAGCATTACTTGTGCTGCTACAATGCAGTGGCGTTATAAAGAGTAACAATACACTAGTACAAAGTTAATATCACAAATCATCGACCTCCACGTGATTATGATCTAACCATGAGGAAGTAAGAAAAGTTGTGCTGTTTTCATAAATATATATATACATTTCCGAACAAGGATAACACATACATGTAGGACGGAAAGTCGCAGTTAGATTGTCCACAAAATGTATAGGGGCCGGGAGACCGGTCTAAGTTTAATTCGGCCCGGGGTTAGTCTGGTGTAACGTTGAAAATTGACTCTCACGTTGAAAATGGACCCTTTTTTAAAAGAGGTCAATTTTCCATGCGTAGGTCGTTGAAAACGGACCCTTACTTTTTCCGACTACCATCTGTTAGATTTTTGCTAATGTAGGTCAAATTTTCAAAACTAGGTCACAGTGACCCAATTTGGTCAAACTACATGTTACTGTTTATTTCTTTAATGTTCCTTTTTCAACGGCTTCCCGGTTCAATATTCAACGGGGGTCCATTTTCAACGTTACACCGGCCACCCCTGATATTTTTTGTCTTGAGAAAATATTTACATATGAGAACACACCGACAGCTCCACGTGGTGGTATATATAGCAACCTAGCATTGACTTTTGTATTGCTGTCATATTCGAATTTATTGGAATATCGGTTCGGCTCATGATATCTGGTCACGTTTGGCCCACGATATACATTTAACAAGTCGTGAAATTGGCGGGAATAATCTGATGTTGCATGCTTTAGATTATGATGTCATAATTTGCCCCAAACCGCCCAGCCGAACTTGCCCCAAGACTGGGCACGCCCGCCCATCAAATCTTCCGATTTCAGCAATTTAATGGCATACTGTCCAAAACGACTTCAATAAAAAAAAATGGCTCTAACTTGCCCCGGTCTCCCCACTAATAAAACCTATCATATTTAGCCAGTGTAAAACCAATCGGGACTGATAAATTATCTAATGGGTCAGGTAAATTTCCCATGACTGTCAATTTCACATTATACCGTATCAAATTACATGTATGTCATGACGATGTAAAAGTGCGACAGGAAACGCTGGAGTTTTTCATACATGTAGGAGATTCAGAACGGTTTCCTTTACTAGTTCAGTGAGTGTTGTTTTGGGTTAAACGTAATTGCAATTCGCAACCATTTTTTAAATTCCAGAGACCTGTTCGTTTATGTGGAACAAACGGTTTGTCTGTTTTTAAACGTAACATTTTCGGTTACAAATACTGGCGGACCTACACATGTTTATGCAGGCCTTGCAAGGATTTGTCAAGGCTCGCCTGAAAGCAGCATCAGATTAATAGGTCCGACCTTATTTTATAAACGAACAACTCTGGTCCAAACGGTTCACAAAAGCGGCCCAGAAGTCATGCTCACTTACATCCTGTGCAAGGACATTAAGTGAGCCAATGGAATTTCGCAGCAAGAGAAAGAGCAACACTATCGAAAAGTCACGACTTCCACGATAATCTTAATCTTTTCAATATTTGTTCTCTCCTGTTATCTGTCTTTTGCCTTTTACAAAATACATCTCATAAGAGACGTAACTCCCATTAACAAGTAAGTTGATTTACTGTGTATTGCTAGTCACAGTGTGATTTGGCGAACACTAACATGGATGAAGGATTATGAATCAAGTACACCCACATGTACAGTCATTTATCCAGTAACAGTGGAGTCCCTAAGGTGGAGTCCTTAAGGTGGAGTCCCTAAAGTGGTCCCTAAGGCGGAGTCCCTAAGGTGGTCCCTAAGGTGGAGTCCCTAAGATGGTCCCTAAGGTGGAGTCCCTAAGGTGGAGTCCTTAAGGTGGAGTCCCTAAGGTGGAGTCCCTAAGGTGGTCCCTAAGGTGGAGTCCCTAAAGTGGAGTCCCTAAGGTGGAGTCCCTAAGGTGGTCCCTAATGTAGAGTCCCTAAGGTGGAGTCCCTAAGGTGGTCCTTAAGGTCGAGTCCCTAAAGTGGAGTCCCTAAAGTGGAGTCCCTAAAGTGGAGTCCTTAAGGTGGTCCCTAAGGTGGAGTCACTAAGGTGGAGTCCCTAAGATGGAGTCCCTAAGGTGGAGTCCCTAAGGTGGTCCCTAAGGCGGAGTCCCTAAGGTGGTCCCTAAGGTGGAGTCCCTAAGATGGTCCCTAAGGTGGAGTCCTTAAGGAGGAGTCCCTAAAGTGGAGTCCCTAAGGTGGAGTCCCTAAGGTGGTCCCTAAGGTAGAGTCCCTAAGGTGGAGTCCCTAAGGTGGTCCTTAAGGTCGAGTCCCTAAGGTGGAGTCCCTAAAGTGGAGTCCTTAAGGTGGTCCCTAAGGTGGAGTCACTCACTAAGGTGGAGTCCCTAAGGTGGAGTCCCTAAGATGGAGTCCCTAAAGTGGTCCCATAGTGGAGTCCCTAAGGTGGAGTCCCTAAGGTGGTCCCTACGGTAGAGTCCCTAAGGTGAAACCCGTATTCAATATATGGAGTAAACGTGTTTTTGATTTTGTCGAAAAGGTGTACTGCGTTATTCAATCGTTGCGGTCTGACTTTAAACTTCATTTTTATAACCCGATTGAGCAAAAGTCTTGAATGGTTCGAACAACAATTGTTAAGAGATTGAATGACCAAGTAATAACAATCAAATGTGTTTACTGAGTAAATGAATTGGAATGTAAAGAATATTACATCATAAACAGATAATGTATAATACTTTCTGTGATGTCACATCTATTTCAAGAAAAAGATGAGTAATGTTTTCAACACAAAATATAATACCTTTGTTAAAATTTATTACAGATATAATACCTTTATTTAATTTTATTACAGATATAAAGGTTTAATTTTAATGAACAGTTTTATTACAGGTATACGGTTGATTTATGAAATGAAAATGTGCTATATTTGAGATATGTTTCATGTATAATTCAACAAACCACATTTATTAGCAATGCCATGCATACATGACACCGTGTTTCACTCTTTATCTGAGAGGCTATTACATACATAACACCGTGCTTTACTTTTTATCTGAGAGGCTATTACATACATAACACCGTGCTTTACTTTTTATCTGAGAGGCTATTAAATACATAACACCGTGCTTCGCTCTTTACCTGAGAGGCTATTACATACATAACACCGTGCTTTGCTCTTTATCTGAGACGCTATTACATACATAACATCGTGCTTCACTCTTTATCTGAGAGGCTATTACATACATAACCCCGTGCTTCGCTCTTTATCTGAGAGGCTATTACATACATAAAACCGTGCTTTACTTTTTATCTGAGAGGCTATTAAATACATAACACCGTGCTTCGCTCTTTACCTGAGAGGCTATTACATACATGACACCGTGCTTCACTGTTTATCTGAGAGGCTATTACATACCTAACACAGTGCTTCACTCTTTATCTGAAGGGCTATTACATACATAACACCGTGCTTCGCTCTTTATCTGAGAGGCTATTACATACATAACACCGTGCTTCGCTCTTTACCTGAGAGGCTATTACATACATAACACCGTGCTTCGCTCTTTACCTGAGAGGCTATTACATACATAACACCGTGCTTTACTCTTTATCTGAGACGCTATTACATACATAACATCGTGCTTCACTCTTTATCTGAGAGGCTATTACAAACATAACACCGTGCTTCGCTCTTTATCTGAGAGGCTATTACATACATAAAACCGTGCTTTACTTTTTATCTGAGAGGCTATTACATACATAACACCGTGCTTTACTTTTTATCTGAGAGGCTATTAAATACATAACACCGTGCTTCGCTCTTTACCTGAGAGGCTATTACATACATAACACCGTGCTTTACTCTTTATCTGAGAGGCTATTACATACATAACACCGTGCTTCGCTCTTTATCTGAGAGGCTATTACATACATAACACCGTGCTTCGCTCTAAATCTAAGAGGCTATTACATACATAACACCGTGCTTCACTCTTTATCTGAGATCAAACTCAGATTTTTTACTCAAACCTAATCCCTGCTCCAGTGGTACAATTAATAAAATTTCGCATTTTTTCAAGGACATTGACTAATTAAAGCCGACTACAGTTTTTAATGTTTAACTTGACTTTTGTTTGTTTGAGCACAGAATCTATGATTGAGAACAGTTTTATGAATACTGGTTTTAAGTTACAGGGTTTTCTTCATAGAATGCATCATGTTAACGAATTAAGTATATCGAACCCAATGTCGTCAATCTTAGACATTGGTGATCTATGCTGAAGAATGTTTTTATTGACCTTATGACCTGATAATGGGGAATGCGATTTTAGTGTCTACTGGTTGCCGAACTGTTCTCGTTCATATCTTCGTCGTTGCCGAACTATTCTGGCAAACTACCAATTCTTGCCAGGGTACATCTATGTTTTTCAAACAGGATCGTTGAATGGTAAAAATGTCTTTACAGATAGAAATACAGATTTTGTAGTTACCTTTGGGAAACATACGGAACTATATGTAGTCTCGTGGGGCTGTAGTACACCTGCCTTGGTGA